CGTGTGGACCACAGTGTAGATTTGACAGAAGTGACTGCAGTGCCGCCTTGCAGTCGCAGGAAATCGTCCACGGTTGCGTGCTTTGATCGTTAATGAAATGCAGTGCAGCGCGAAGCGCTGCAAGCTCTGCTGCTGTTGTTGTGGTTGCATGAGCTGTCCTGAATTTGATGGTTGCGGCGTGCGTTGGAATAACGACCGCCGCTGTTGAGCTGTTTGGCAGGACGGAGTCGTCGGTGTAGGCGTGGGTGAAGTCTTGGTACTTCTCGTACAGCAGAAGTAAGGCGAGCTGCTTGAGGGCTGGTATTGAGAAATCTCGTTTTTTCTGGATGCCTGGTATTGTCAGGTTGGTGACTGGCTGTTTGAGGCACCATGGAGGAATTGAAGGTCTCGCCGCGGGGGTAAAACTAGTTGGTAGGAAGTAACCATGTGTAGTTATTGTTCGACAAAAGAATGTATGAGGTCTATCCTCTAGTAGAGAGGCTAGGTGGTGATGGGGAGTCCGGCCCACATGCCTTATGTGCGTCCTCAAAGCTTCAATTTTAATATGGGTCTGCACGAGGTGGTCTTTGGGTATAGCTATAGTCGCCATTTTTGAGGCACCCTGAGGCAGACCTAGACATATTCGAAGCGCCTGTGCCTAAACGCTTTGTATCATGCGTCGACTTGTTTTGGCGGCGTTTGATGATGCAGGCAGACTGTATCGTAAAAAGCCAAGGAAAAGCACCCTGTACAGTCGTAACATAGCATTAAGCTGCATTTCCCAAGTCTTTCCAGCGAGAAACTTGAAAAGATGGCATATGCCTGTCAATCGCTTTTTCAAATACGACACATGAGGGCTCCATGATATGTCTCTGTCGACTATGACACCCAGAAATTTGTGAGATCGACGATATGGTATATTTTGACCGTTAATTGACACTGTAATTCGACATGGCTTTGCGCGTAAATGCCAGAAGAGCGCACTTTCCGGAGGAAATTTCCAGGCCTTGATTGCGTAGATACAAAGTAGTTGCAGTAGCAGCTCTCTGTATTCTCGCTCGTAATTGCAGGCGAGTTACCGCAGATGTCCAGATGCAGATGTCATCAGCGTATGTTGATAGATAAATATTGTTTGGTAGGTGCGTATTGAGAGCGTTAAGTGTTATATTGAATAGCACGGGGCTCAGTACACCAACCTGAGGGACGCCACGACAACTGAAATGTGTAGACGTGTTCCCGGTCTCTGTACTCACAAAATAGGATCGCATTTGGAGATAACTGCGTATCCACTTAAACATTCGGCCACCCACTCCAATCTCTTCTAGTGCGGTAAGGACGGCTTCATGTGTAACGTTATCACAGGCTCCTTCGACGTCAAGGAACAGAGAGGCGCAAAGACGCTTATGGCCTTTCTCGTGTTCAACGTACGTGATCAGGTCGAAGACGCTATCGATCGATGATCGACCACGTCGAAAGCCAGCGATGGCATTTGAGTAGATCTCATGATACTCCAAGTACCACTCGAGTCGGCCGAGAATCATTCTCTCCATCACTTTACCCACGCAACTAGCCAATGCGATAGGGCGATAGGAGGAGAGTTCCAATGGTGATTTGCCAGGTTTTAGTAATGGTACTAGACGACTAGTTTTCCAACTTAAGGGGACAGTGCCCTCTAGCCAACAATCATTATATAGCTGAAGTAGAGCTATTCTCGCGCGCTCACCCAGATGACACAGGGCTCGGTAGGAGATTACGTCAGGTGCTGGTGCGGAGGTCCGTTTGCATGAAGCGAGTGCTGCTTTGAGCTCCTGAATGGTGAACGGGAAGTCCATACAGGAGTCACGTGGTGGCGGACAACTGCTCGAAAGTTGTGAGCTGCTGATGGCTGGAGTTTGCCCTGATAATCTGGCACAGAACTCTTCAGCAACGTCGATCTGGTCGATTTTGGTGAAGGGCTAAGGCCTTGAATGGTGACTTCTGAATGTGCGATGAGCGCAAATCTCTAACCGTCCTCCATATCTGCGATAAAGGCTTACGAGGGTCGAGTGACTCGCAGAAAGTAATCCAGCGTGTGAATTCTAGCTTGTCCAACCGACGTTTGATCTTCTTCTGCATACGTCTAGCAGTCCGTAAATATTCTATGTCCTTCGTGCGCTGGTACCTTCTTTCAGCTCGTCGTCGCAAGGCTCGAAGCCGCTCCAGCTCTATGTCGATGTCCGTGATTCTTACTGGGCATGGGATCGTACACACAGTCTCTTTTACAGTGCTCTTGATGGCCACTTGTAAACCGGAAATTTGTTCTTGGCATAGGTCTTCCATACGGGACTGAAATTTTTTCCATTCCACTCTTTTAACCATGTCGCGCACTTTAGGAGGCGACAATCCTCTGATCTTGATGTATGTTGGAGTGTGATCCCTCCCGTGCGTTTCTATATCCGTGAACCATTCAGTATGTTTCACTAGGCTTCGCGAAACAAAAGCCAAGTCGAGACAGCTACTGTATGTGGAGCCACGTAAAAATGTAGGACTGCCATCGTTGAGTAACCAAAGTTGGTTGTCGGAAGCAAAAGACACCAAGCTTCTGCCGTTCATGTTGGTATTCTGACTTCCCCATAATGTATGATGAGCATTAAAATCCCCAATGAGAACACACGGGTCAGCAGTTAACGCTATGATGTCTCGTAGTCTTTTTTGATCGAAACGGCTTGATGGTGATAGGTATGCGCCAACCACAGTGATGTCGAGCCTCCTCCTTTTCACTCTTAAGCGTACGTATTGGTTTCCGTCATGAGGTGGTACAGGTTGAAGGATGTAAGTGAGGTCTCGGCGAATGTACACCAGAACCTTGCTGCTTTCAGTAACAATAGACGACATAAAAGGTTCGTGTCCCGAGAGTCGTATTGCACTCGATAAGTTCGGCTCACAAATGACGATTACGGGAAACATATTGACGTACACAAATCGACGAAAGTCACCAATGCGCGATCTCAGTCCCTTGGCATTCCACTTCTGTATTGCTGCTTTACGAACCTCATCCCTGAAAGACAGTGGTGGGTTAGCCATGGTCTACTCTAGGGCTGCTAGCATTGGACTAAGCGCGTCCAGTACTTGAAGGGCACTTTTGGCTGATGGTGTATTCATGTCGTTTAGCAACATGCGAATGGTGCGCACTAATGATCTTAGCATCACCATCACGTGATGATCTGGCTTCCCGGCCGTTGCAGCATTTTGTGCTTGTTCTTGAGACGGCTTCTGTTGAGACTCAACAGGTCGTGTAGGCGGCTTCTGTTGAGGCTCAACAGATCGTCTAGGTTGAAGGGGTGGCCATTCCTTTGAAGAGAGAGATCTTCCAGCATCTTCTCTTTCAGCGCAGATGTTTGCCGTGCTAGGAGCCACGCTTGTCGATTTCACTTGAGTTTCTGACTTTCTCGTTAGATTTTGCACTGTCCTTCGTGAGGACCTTCGACGATGACGGCGCCTTCGCCTTACTTTTTGCGCAGCTTCTCTGTGAGTCGAGTTGTCTCGCACCATTTGCCTCAGAATATAAATCTCTTTCTTAATTTGAGGACAGTCCTTGGAGGAAGCACTGTGAGCTCCTTGGCAGTTGGAGCATTTCAACGTAGTTGCATTACAGTCGTCTTCTGAGTGGTGTTCAGCGCATCGGGGGCACACTTCGGAATTTCTGAAACGCCCTTCACGTGGCCAATCTTCTGGCACTTGAAACACTGCATAGGCTTCGGACTAAATGGGCGAACCTGGTGACGGAAATGGCCAACCTTCACGTAAGAGGGAAGACAGTCACCCTTGAATGTTAGTTGCACACAACGAGAGTTGCCTAGGTGACCAGCATGCACAATGACGTTGTTTTCACTCACTGTTATTATCAGTAGAAGAAGATCTTCATTGGCGATTTCAGTGTCTATGTCATAGATAACTCCTGTTACGGTGTCACCATTCGCTGGTATGATGGATCGGACTTTGATGTTTCCCAGCTCTGACACATGCTGTAGCGTGTTCAGTGCACTCGGGTTCCTCACGTCGATTGCCAAAATATTCTTCCTCGTGTTTATCCTGACGTCCTTAATCTCGTTAGGCACAATGTTTTTCAAGGTACAAGGACAGTGCTTGCCTGTTGAGGAAGCGTAGATTGGCAGTAGTAGTCTGCGGTACAAACAGAAAGGAGTGAGGCCATCGCGGAGGCGCTGTCCTCACAGTGGCTGTACTTGATGCCGATGATGCGTTCATGATTCTTCGTTTGGCCTTGCGGTAGAGCACAGGTTAGTAGTCGTCTTCCGAGGACTCGTAGTCTGATGCAGAGTACAGCTCAGTGTCCTCGCTTTCACTAGATGGATTACCACGCTTTCTTGAAGCAATGCCCGTGGATTAACTGGTACTGGGCGGGATCTCCGGGGATTGTACATCCATGATTGCGATGTAGGGGACTGGAGACCCCGCTGTGGCGCTGTGGAACGCAGAAAAAACAGCACAGACCACAAGATGTGTTGTGTTCCACAAGAGAATAACTTCGTCTTCCTCCTTCTAAAACCAAGGAGGTTACACCAAGCGAGTATAAGGTAGCAACCATTTCTTGTCAGATAGTGCTCAATGTACATGCCAATGGCTGCTAATGGGAATGAGAGGCAGGAAAATTCGGCTTTCAGTTAACGCGCACGCTGCGAACTTTTTGTTGTTCAACAACGCAAAGGAGAAATATCCTACCGGCACCACCTTGCAGGTCAAAACGTAAGACTGGTTACACGCTACGACTACGACTACTACGAGGGACGAACGGGTGCCGCATTAAGGAGCTTCGCCCCTAAAAGGACGTCTTAAGACCCCCAAGTGTCGACTTAAAGTCACAACTACACGGTTTAGTTCTGATGCCTTGGTTCGGTGGAGCCGGGAAGACAGTGAATTCTATGTTACCAAAACGTTGCTTCTGTAATCATGGCGTTTACCGATGCTCACTGATGGCGATGATAGAATGGGGCTCACTCGGTGATGCCTGTAGTGGCCCACACCCATCCGACGAGGTGACTGCTTGCAAGGCTTGGGCCCGTGGCTGAACTGCTGTTGCTGTACCCGCACAGGAATCTGCAGGCTTTGATTTCGAACGCCGCGGCAGCTCGCACTCCCTGGACGGCGCTGTCCGCAGGCCCAGGCAGGGAGAAATCTAATAGGCTCGGGTCCACCACTTGACTGCCCATCTTCAACTCCCAGCTAAGACCTCCCTCTTGCCTCGTTTGCCTCGAGCTTCGTGTTCCGCAGCCCAGCCTGTTTTTCTATGCTCGCACCTTCTTCTTATCACATCATGCTGTCAAGTGCCCCCCCCCCTCCAAAACATCCCCATGTGATCCGCCAAGGCCATTCACTCTTGCCTACTTGACATGATTTCCACCACGTCAGTAAATATTGGTGTGAAACCGACGGCTCCTTCCTGTTGTGGACGCCAATTTGTACTACGAGTTTCTTTTACTATTGTTCGTAAGAGCTGTCTAGGTTTGAACCTCCGAGAATATTCATGAAGTACTAATCCCATTTTAACAACGAAACTCTAACAAAAAGTTTAATTGTCAAGTAAAACACAACAAATTCCCACAGAACCAACACACCTAAACGTTCACTGGATGCGGTAAAACCCTCTTCTCAACAAAAAATGGCAGCATATCCACGGAGTGACTGATGGAGAGTGGGGCGAAGCATCTGTCCATCCATTCTTTCTTGCGTTCGTTCGTCTATGCTTGCGTTGGTGTGGCCGCCCGTGCGTGCATCTGCCCGCCCTTGCGCGCGTCTGTTCATGCGTCCGCACGTCCATCTGTGCGTTCGTCCCTGCGTTCGTCCATGCATCCATTCCTGCGTCCGTCCATGCGTCCATCCGTCCGTGAAGCCATCTGTGCGTCCGTCTATGCATCTGCCAGTGTGTCCGTTTGTCCCACTATCCAACACTCCAAGTACTACCATCTCGCAGCTTTTCATCATATCTTTCCTCATATAGAAGCACCGTCATCCAGCGGATGTTCGAAAGACTGAACGACAGGAGGCGCACGCACACTTTCTTACGGCTGCGCTTCGTGTCTACTTCCCACCTTTAACCACCTCGAGTTCATGGTATATACTAGTTCACTGTATTCATGGCACTGCGGCCGAACGCTCGCTATACCTTTCTGAAACCAAGGAGGTTACACCCAGCGAGTATAACGTAGCAACCCTTTCTTGTCAGATAGTGCTCAATTTACATGTCAATGGCTGCTAAGGGGTAATGAGAGACGAGAATTTGGCTTTTAGATAACGCGCACGCTGCGATTTTTTTGTTCGACGACTCACAGAATAAATATCCAAACGGCACCACCTTTGAGGTCAAAATCTAAGACTGGTTACACACTACGACTACTACTACTACTTCGAGGGACGAACGGGTGCCGCTTTAAGCAGCTTCGCCCTTTAAACACAGATAGAGAAAATTCAATTGCAGAACACAGTATAAACGCGGGTGAGTGGCGAAGTGGAGAAAGCTGGCAGTTAAGTCTTACCAACACGCTGAGTGCTAGGTGATGTTTAACAGAAATCTGGTAGCGGCATCGCCGGATGCGGGGTGGCTGGCAATGAAGCGCTGGCTGCTAGCCATGCGTCGAGAAACCAGACCAGAACCTGGCGGCTCCAGCTTTAGGAGTGGGCTCATGGGTAAATATAGAACGCTGGCTTCTGTTTCTGCACCGAGCCATTGTTTGCTGGTACCTCCGTGTTTCCTGACCTATAATTATCTTGTTTTCTCTCTTGTTAATGTTGCGCCTCTTTCCTCGCACTCTCGCACGTGCTTTCAGTTTCATCTTCATTTAGGCTGCGGCCACTATTTGCGCGCGGTCTTCGTTCTCTCCTGCTGTGCACTTTTCAAAAGCGTTTACTTCAAACGCTGACATTGATCACAAAGGGTAGCGAGACGAGGACGAGATTCGACTAGTCAGCGCTTCTTTAGAAGGTCGTACTGCAGTCATACCACGCCATCAATCCCATATGTTGACACCCTTTTGTTTTCGTTACGACGTGTTTTGTAAGAAAAATACCCGCTATATGATCCGCACCTACCTACTCATGGTTCCGAGGGATATGCGGGACGACGTCTTCTTCGCTTGCCATGACGAGCTCACATCTGGCCAACTAGGCTTCCAACGAACACTCGCCAGAGTATCAAAGACGTACTATTGGCCGGGCCATTCGGCAGACGTCAAGAAGTATGTGGAAGGGTGTTGTGAATGTCGGCGTCAAGATTCACCATCAAGCAAGCCGGCGCGATCACTTCAACCAATTGACCCACCTCACAAGCCGTTTGACCAAGTCGGCATGAACCTTCTTGGCTCTTTTTATAGTCTACGAATGAAAACAAGCAAGTAATAGTCGCAATTGACTATTTAACATGCTATGCCGAGACAGAGGCTCTACCCCGAGCCACGGCTGTCGGGGTAGCGCACTTCTTTATGTGCCACATTGTATTGCGTCATGGAAGCTCTCTCTACAGTGATAACAGTCCAAGGGACCGCGCTCAGTGCGCCACCTAAAGACAAGGTTTTTCTGCTAGGCAACACTATGCTTAGGAAGACAACCACTTGCTATTCCGCAGAGCGATGGCCTTACCGAGGGACTAAATAAGACAGTCACCGATATGATCTTCATGTACACCAACATCTCACACAAAACGTTGGGTCAGTATATGTGACGTTCGCTTACAACACCGTCGTTCAGGAAACAAAGCGAATCACGCACGTTTGCCTTCTATACTGCCGCGAAGTTCAAACTATGTTAGAAGTATATTAGACGCTGACCGGTTAACAGCAGACGTCGAAAACTTCACCGAACATGCCGAGTCCGCATGCGAGCTCGCGTGACTGCACATAGGCCTGAAACAGCAAACAGATGCACAATGCTACAATACCCGCCATCGAGACGTTCCCAATAGTCCACGAGACCACGTTTGGGTGTAGACACCTGTTCGTCACCGCGGCCTTTCGGAAAAGTTGGTAAGCCCGGTGCTTTGGACCCTTAGGGTGCTGTGCCGCGTGAGTGACGTGAACTGAGAGGTAGTTCCGGACAGTGGGTCGTCAAATCAAACAAAACGAGACAACAAAGCTTCGACCTAATTCTGTATTTAGGTGTGCTTATCCTCCTTCTGTTAGGATTAGGTATCATTCGAAAGGACATAAATTTCTTATCCTCAATTCTCTGCCAACCCCCCTGAGTGGGCAAGAGTCATAGTGGATGCATCATCATCACCATAATTCATGTCGCGCGCAACCTATATTTGGGAGTCATAAATTTTTCTCCCATTCATTCTCTTTTTTTATTACGCCTAAACTTTATTTGACTGCTTGAACTTAGTCTGTATTCATCCGTATGTTTTCGTGCAGTGTAAGCTGTTTTGTTTTACACCTACCTTGCAGCATCGAGACGACGCTGTTTTTCGCAGAGGAGAAAATAATGCCACCTGTAGTATATAGTGGGTGAAATGCTCATGCGGAGGCACATGAACACGAAAAAGTTCATGCGCTATCCGTCTCTTGAGTGCATGCCGAAGCGACGCATCCGGTAAAAGTCCTGCGGCTGTACCCCTACGTCCAATAAACATCACCTGGACTTCTAAAGGGATGTGACAGCATGTTCTGCAAACTTATTTCAAGGTCATTTTGATCATGTGCTATAAATATTTCATGGAGTCAAAAACACTCGTCCGACAATACTCGTATCAGTATGCCTGTTTTAAACAAAGTGAAAATTTCTTTTATATAAAATATTAACAACAATTAACCCAGGATGCTACCTTTAAGCACACTGGATGTCACTCAAAGACTGCTCGAGTCTTTAATAGCACAAAACTGCACAAATTATAGAGTTCTTTCTAGAAAATATATTGTTTCGACAATTGTGGAAGGTAACATCACTAGTTTTGCCATTCTTAAAGCCAACCTGATGACGTCAAAAGGAGACATGTATTTAAGCCGGATCATGTATTGGAGAGCCATGTCTCGTGCTGTGTAACACGAGTTTAATATAAACGAACGCCCCCAGCAGGGCAACTGAATGCACAGACACTGGATATCATGATTTTTTTTCAATAAGTTTAGCTTCTAATAGTTCCGTTGTTAGGACAGTAATACCACCGTTCCTGTGTACTCTATTTCTACGACATATTTTATAAGATGATGGCGATACTAGGTCATTGTTAGCTGAATTATGTAACCATGTCTCCTTATTATGGCAACACGCGGTTCGTGCAGAAGCAACTGAATTTCCAGTGTATCTGCCTTAGTGAAACGCTGCGGGCGTTCACTATAGCCTGCGCAACTTTTTACGTGTGGTGAACCTGTGTAAGCATAGTTATTGGCTTAAGATGTCCAAGAAAAAAGAAACGTTCACGACTTTATTTTGTGGATTGCCTGACTTTTGGATGAGCATAACTTTCTTTCAAGGGGCAACTGCCTCTTCTAGCTTCGTTATTTTAATAGAAACATTATCATTCTTCATCCCAGCCGTAAGCAACACCAGTGATGTACATCTCGAAGGATAAGGTAAATTCTTCGTGTTTTTCCTGGTTTGTCCTTTGGACTTGTCCATAGTTTTTGTCTAAAGCCCTGAAATTCCGAAGAAAAGTTTTCCCCTAACAAAATATTGTTGATCTTTGAGTATATCGCCTTCTTAGAATGACGAATTCGTCTTTCACGTTCAAAAATCTTTTCATAAAGGGGCGGTTTCCGTTTGATGCCAGTTTCACTAATCTATGAGCTCCTTTCATAAGTATTTTCGTCTAGTTCAAGAGCGCTCTGAAAAATGTCCTTGTTTAGATCATTTGTATTACTTCGGAGGTTCCGCTGTTTGTTTCAGTTATTCCGTAAATTATTAGGTTAGATTGCCGGGTGTGATTTTTTTGTTCATGTACCTTCTTTTCAAGTAACTGAACAACGCTGCTTATAAGTCAAGCTGTTCTTGACAAAAGTTACCCTGTCGTGCAGGTTTCAAATACTTTTTTTTATTTCAAATAGCCGCTTCTATTCAAATTCCGTAATATCACCTAATATTTACTTCAGCTTCTTAAATTCAGAGAAATATCAGGACCCGGATTGCCTTCGATGTCCTGTTTCACTAGTAATAATTTTCTCTGAGGAAAACTTAAAAAATGCCATAAACAACGTGGCAGCGGGCAAGGCAGCACCGACAAAAA